TGACAGTTCTTATTGTTTCGACCAAAGTTCGCCTGTAGGAGGACACGCCCGACCTAAACATACTCCAATGTTCAATGTTCATATAAGTGATCGCTTTCTTTTTCATTGTGTTTTGCCGATCGGCGCGGGCCCTCGCCCCCCCCCGCCCCCCCCCCCCCCCTATGGAGCAGATCTTGGCTGTCTTCGGCGCCTGTTTCGAGCAGATGGAGCCCCTCCCCTCAGAGGACATACTGTTGCAAAATAGTCGCATTAAGCAGAGGTCCGGAGCCAGACTCCCCCCCCTATCCCCCCCCTTCCGCCCAATGTCGAAACAACGCATAAGAAAACGCTCACCAATGTTTAGGTAGCTGTATATATGTATGTCTGTGCGCATGTGTGTGTGTGTGTGTGTGTGTGCGTGCGTGCGCGAGTGCGTGCGTTTGTGCGTGCGTATGCTGTGCGTGTAGCATCGGAGATTGCGGCACGCCGTGCGAGGACATACTGGGCAGTGTTGATATCGACAGGCGAAGGGAGCGTGGGGTGCGGGGTCCATCGAAACAAAGAAGGCGTAGAGCTTGGATTTGCTCGTAGATGTTTTAGGCTGCGCCGTACCGCAGGCACGCACGGTGCAGGCTGCTCTGGACATACGTTCGACGTGTTGATACAATAATGCTTGACGGTTTGCGTATGGCCACCAGTCCATCCACAAACCTTTTCCAGACGAGTCATCGTGAGAGCAGCAGCGCCAGTGAAACAAAGAGGGAGGACACGGGTAACACCGAGGCTGGAACCAGCCTGAGCAGCCGCCAGCAGTTGCCATTTTGGGCTCTTTGGGGGCCTCATGTACTTCTCTTGGAGCCATCCTTCGGCTCTCTGAGGGCCCTCTTGGGTGTCTTCGGAGCACCCTGGGGCCATCCCCCCATCCAGAAATCGTTTTCGGTCGGTTCGTGTCGCGCGTGCGGACGAGGTGAAGCTGTGCGATGGCGAGAGTCGGCGGCGCGACGCGTGAGGGACAGAGAAGGGGCAGGCCTTGTGAGATGGAGGCGCGGCTTCTCAGAAGCCCAGACGCCCTCTAGTGGCTCCGAAGAAGGCTCAGACACCTTCTCAGAAGGCTAGCTTCTCAGAGGGCTGGGGGCGTTCTGAGCCCTCTGATAAGGCCCGTTTCCCTCTGTTGCCCCCACCACCCTGAGCGCGCCGTTTAGCTTTGCGATGGTGAGAGAGATCCTGCCATTGCTCAGTGCTTTCCCCAGCGCAGTTGGATCACCTCCAGCATACGCCTTTTGAGGAAGCTGGCACGCAGTCCGTAAAGGGAGGAGGAGAAGGAGGAGGATGAGGAGGAGGAGGAGGAGGAGACGGACGTGGAGGAGGAGGAGGAGGAGAGGAGGAGGAGGAGGAGGAGGAGGAGGAGGAGGAGGAGGAGGAGGAGGAGGAGGAGGGCATCATGTCAGACAGCTCCCGTGTCGCATGCTGGCCGCGGGTCCCTCCAGGGCTTTGTCCCGCGGTTGGTTACCCGTGGTTTGAAGGAGGGTCATCCTACAGAGCCACCCCGTTCGGCCCCTCTGCTCTCCTCCACCTCGCTCCTCCCTCTCTCCACCTCGCTCTCCTCCCCTCCCCTCTCTCTCTCTCCCCCTCTTCTCCTCTCCCCTCCTCCTCCCTCTCCTCCCTTCCCCTCCCTCTCCTCCTCCCTCCCCTCTCTCTCCACCTCGCTCACTCCCTCTCTCCCCTCCCCTCCCTCTCCTCGCCACCCCGCTCCCCCCCCCTTGTGGTGGCTCTTGGCCGCGGCACCGCTTCCGCCGCGGAGCATCCAAGCACGCATCCAGCGAAGCCCCGCGTCGGATCCCCGCCCAGGACGGAGGAAACCAATCAGGGGAGGGGCGAGGGCGGTGGATTGATCCAGGCCTCCCAGATGGGGCCGGAGTAGACGGGCTCGGAGGGTCGCGTCGCATCGCCGATGCGGCTCGATGTGGAGCCCGACTCTCTTCACGTTGGACGAGTTTATGTTTTGTTGAAGACCTCGAGTGAGCAAAGTCGGAACAATTTGACTTGCCAGGGCAGATGTGATAATCACTCAGTATGCACGTATGAGGGCTCGGCTATGGTAACTCAATCGGGACATGCGCATTGTGGAATGTAATCGTATACGCACGTATGTATGATGAACACAAGCGTTCATATACGTACACAGACGTAGATACGTGTATATATAATGAAGTGAGTAACCACGTATCTTTCTAAACGTGGCAGTACGATTGTGATGTACCATTGTGCATGCAGTCAGCAGTGGAGTTAGAATATCAGTAACTGCAAAGCAGCTCCATCGCTAGAACAGCAGAGTGTTTAGATTTGCTAGAAGCGCTGCCAGGGCTGGACGAGTTCGTCGACTGTGCGCCTCGGTATAATGGCCACGCCATCGCGAAGCTAATCACACACTGAAGATTGCAACCCTCCCTGAATAACCTTATCATTCGGGTGGTATCATGGAGTAGAGGCTGATATACCGAAAACACCTCCAGCGAGTCACCGGCTCCCTGCGGTCCATCAGGCACAGAAATCATGATGCATGCGTGGGCCCCAGACAGTGCCTTTGCACAATCGTTGGGGAGTACTTCATGGGGTGCGATCCACCTGGCAGAACTTGAAGTCGTCAACTCCACTGCTCGCGCAATCATTTCACCCTCCCACCCGCAACTTGTTTTGCACAACCCATGCGGCCGCGATTGCGGTGACTCCTTGGCACTGGCTTGCGCATGTCTGCGGCTGAGCTAGTGCGCACAAGCTCGCGCGCAGAGCGGCCATCTGGTATGTCAAACCAATGCGGCCGCGATGGCGCTTACCGATGTGAACTTCCAGCGCGTCTCAAAGGCCGCTTTGGCGCGCGGGCGCTGCAGCGCGGGTCGGTGATTCGAGCGGACGCGGTAACAAATGACTTCGAGAACGGCGACAAAGATGATGATAGCAGCGATGGTGTTGGCGATGATGGGGGGGTTGAAACTGGACTCCCCCTCCCTGGATGAAGGGGGGGGGGTCGAACCCCCCCCCCCTCCCCCCCTCCCGTGACGGAGGGGGGGCGGGTTCGAACCCCCCCCCCTCCCTTGCTTCCCCTCTCCTCGGGCCGGCGCTTCCGTCGGCAGCGGCGACGGCGGCGGGGACGACGATTTCCATTTCTGGGCCGGCGCCGGCGCCTGCGGCGGCGGGCGGCGGTGGCGGGGAGCGTCGACGAGGACGACGGTGGTGGTGGTGGTGGTTGGGTGTGGTGGTGTGCGGTGGTGGTGGTGGTTGTGTGGGTGGTGGTGGTGGTGGTGGTGGGTTGTGGTAATGGTGGTGGTGGTGGTGGTGGTGGTGTGGTGGTGGTGGTTGGTTGTGGTGGTGGTGGTGGGTTGTAGTTGTGGCGGTGGTTGTGGGAGGTGGTGCTGGTGGTGGTGGTGGTGGTGGTGGTGGTGGGATGGTGGTGGCGTGGTGGTTTGTGGTGGTGGTGGTGGGTTGTGCTGCTGGTAGTGGTGGTGGTGGTGGCGGTGTGGTTGTTGGTAGATTGTGGTGGTGGTGAGTTGTGGTGGTGGGTTTTTTGTTGGTGGTGGTGGTGGTGATGGTGAGTTGTGTGGTGATGGTTGTGGTGGTGGTGGCGGTGGTTGTGGTGGTGGGTTGTGGTGGTGGTGGTGGTGGTTGTGGTGGTGGTGGGTTGTGGTGGTGGCGGTGGGTTGTGGACAGTTGTTGTGGTGGTGGTGGTGGCGGTGGTTGTGGTGGTGGTGTGGTGGTTTGTGGTGCTGGCGGTGGGTTGTGCTGCTGGCAGTGGTGGCGGTGGTGGTGGTGGTGGTGGTGTGGTAGGTTGTTGTGGTGGTGGGTTTTCGTGGTGGTGGTGGGTGATGGTGAGTTGTGTTGGTGGTTGTGGTGGTGGTGGTGGCTGGTGGTGGTGGTGGTGGTGGTTGTGTGGTGCTGTTGTTGTTGGTGGTGGTGGTGGGTTGAGGCGGTGGTGATGGTGGTAGTGGTGGTGGTAGTGGTGGTGGTGGTAGTGGTGGTAAGTGTCGCTGCGTCCCCACCGTCGCCAGCGCCAGCGCTGGCGCTGCTGGCCGCCGCCAGCGCCGGCGCCGGCGCGAGGGGGGGGGGTTCAAACCTTCCTCCCCCCTCGGCGCAAGGGGGGGGGTTTCAAGCCCCCCACCCCCTCCCTGGGCTGCCTCTGGTCATCGTCGCTGCGTTCCCGCCGTGGGCGCTGCTGGCGGCCGCCAGCGCCGGCGCCAGCGCCGAGGGGTGTGTGTGTGTGTGTGTGAACCCCCCCCGCGCCCTGGGGGAAAGGGGGGGTTCGGGAGGGGGGGGGTTTGTGGTGGAGGGGAGTCCCCCTTGTTTTGATCGACGGCGCCGAGTGTTGGGGGGGGTCCACCCCCGGTTCGAAACGCGCCGCCGAATGTTCCCCAGGCAAGCGCCCGTGAAATGCGTTCTCTCTGATGTCCATGTGTCGGTGATGAAGGTGATTGACTGATGATGGCGGCACTTGTGTCGCATGTTCATGACGATAACAGTTGTGATGCGGTGGCGCTGGTGTGGGTGGTGATGGCGGAGTGCGAACGCGCGGACATGCAACAACGTCTGACAGGCTTTGTGTCGAATCGCATATTGTTTTCGTCCTACGTTTTCTTGGGAGCGTTATCTTGATATGCTTCGAGAGTCACTGGCTTTGGACGGACTCTGACACGCGCGCGTGGCGGCGCGTTCGTGTGGCCTGCTGCATTATGCAAGGCTCCATGGCCGTGGGAACGCAGGCCCGAGGTATTTCGCAAAGGGTCGTGGCATTGGGGGCGCGGGCCCAATGATTGTATCCTTCAAGGGTGTCGTGGCCCAGGTCCCAGGCGGCCTTCTGTCTCTTGCGAGGCGTTTTGGCCCCGCGGGCGCGGACCCCTGGCGCGAGGAGGGGGATAAGCGCGACGCGATTGGATAGGCGATTGTCAAGGCGCCGGGGTGGTCCAGGCTCTGACCATGCGGGTGGTTGTGGTGGTGTCGCTTTGGGCGTCTCGGTCACCTTAAGGAACGGCTTATCGGTTTCCAGGGCGTCCCAGCAGGCGTCGGGCGAGGCGCCATGGGGGGGGGCTGCCAGGCCCCAAGGGAGGCCCCTGGCAGCCCGTGCCGCGAGAGCTGTATGGCTCGAGTTTTGAGCGTTCAGTGCAGGTGTTTGTCCGCTTTCAGTCATCTCCTTTGTGCTGCTGTGTTGTCGGCAGTTCCCTGGGTTTGGTTGCGACCTTATTTCCTCTCTTCTGCCCAGGGTGGTGCCCCCATCATGACAAGCTTTCTCTATGCATACTCTCGTCATGCACACCCCTGGTTATCATTGTCCATCTGTCGCTCTGTGTTTCAATCATTCATGCTCCGCGCATCCCCACCAGCCCAATCAGAGTCGTTGCCCATGAGAGCTGACGGGAAACAGGATGAATAGACACATATAGTGAAACGAAGCGGGCAACTATAATGAATTGAGGATGCGGCGGATAAGGATGTGGACGGCGACGGGAGCACGAGGAGGAGGAGGAGGAAGAGGAGGAGGAGGAGGAGGAGGAGGAAGAGGAGGGAGAAGAGGAGGAGGAGGAAGAGGAGGAGAAGGAACAATAGGAACATGAGAACACGGACTAGGTGGTTGGCGAGGGCAAGGACGAGGAGGGAAAGGACATGACGAGGACGAGGAGGAAGACGATGACGAAGAGGAGCGGAGGAGGAGAGGACGAGGACGGGCGAGGAGGAGCGGAGGAGAAAAAGGACGAGCAGGACGAGGGCGATGAGGACGAGGACGAGGATTTTGGCAGCCATTTGGGGGTCGTCTTGAGGCCCTCTTAGGGTCTGGGCTCTCTTGGGGCCCTCTTGGGGCCCTCTTGTTTTTTTTGTGTGGGGGGGCTCTGCTCTTGGGGTTCTCTTGGGTCTGCTTGGGGGTTTCTTGGGGCCCTCTCGGGACTCTTGGGGCCCTCTTGGGAGCCGTGTCGGGCCTTCATCTTGGGGGCCATCGATCGAAAGGGGAGGGTCCTCGATCTGCCGCCCTCCCCTGGGGCCAACAGGAACGCCTTTTGGAGCTTTCTCGGGGCCCTCGTCTGGCGCTCTATCTTGGGCTCATCTTGGGGTTCCGAGGGCGCCTCGGACGCCAAACGGCGAGAGGGGACACATCATGGATTTCCCTAAGTTTTCGCTAGGGCTGAGACTCTTTGGGGGGTCCCGAGGGGGCTGCGAGAGCACCTGGGGCCGGCTCGGAGCGGTCTTTTGGGGCTTCTTGGGGTATGGGTGAAGCTGTCTTGAACCATCTTCGGCTGCCTTCAGCCATTTTGGAGGCCATCTTGGAGCGTCGGAGGCCCTTTTGGAGACACGTTGGGCCATCTTGGACGCCAGAACCCCTCGCGCCCCCCCAACAACAACTCATGGAGGGGAGGGAGGGAGTACCTCTCCCCGAAGAGACGAGGGACTGTGGACGAGGAAAGAAGGACATCGTCAGACCACCTGCGCCCACCTGGCTGGCTGGATTCGTTTCTCCCGCCCCACCCTGCCCCCGTAGGGAGCGTTCCACATGTGTATATATATACATATATATTTATACATCTAGGTATATAATGTGTGTATGTGCGCAGTCATCGTGCTACCATTAGGAGGGCCCGTTAGGCTCCTCTGGCAGCGGCGAGCCTCGGACACCGACCGGTCCCCCGGCCCAGGTCTGAGGCACGGTCCGAAGCACAGAGCCCCTCCTGAACCCAAGCTGTTGCAGGCTCCTGGGCCCTTGACCGTACATGCACAAATATCTACCTACCTCTCTCTCTATGTGTACATATATATACAACTTATAGGTGTGTATACAGATCGGGAAATGGGGGCGAGAGAGGGAGGGGGGTATAGAGAGGGAGATCGAAATATAACGAGAGAGAGAGAGAAAGACACATGGATACATCGACCTATATGTGTATATATATATATAGAGAGAGAGAGAGAGAGAGAGAGAGAAAGAGAGAGAGAGAGAGAGAAAGTGAGAGATATTGATAAAGAGAGAGAGAGAGAGAGAGCGCCACGCAGAAGCCGAAGAAGACGGACAAGGACGAGGAAGGCTGGGAAGAGGAGCAGGTCACCGCGTCGACTATCACCCGGATTGAGGTGGTGACAGCTCCTTCAAATTCTTGCCACTAGCCGCCCGCTTCCTTTTCTTCCCTTGATTTCTCCTTTGTTTGCACTTGATCGCTTGCCATCTCTTTTCTCGTCGCCTCCCGTCCCGCCTTCTCTCTCTCTCTCTGCTTACGTCTCTGGTTTATGGTTGTGATCATCAGGTCCCTTTCCATGTTATTTCCTGTCTTCCACATCAGTTGATCCGAAGAGTGCCCACAAGAACAAGATCGATGACACATCGGTTACGCTTCTACTGCCTTTTCTTGAGCTGCATTGGCTACTGTCCGTGCTTTCTTTCAAGGAACCACCAACTTCATGACACTGTGCAGTGCGTTCTGCATGTTCGACCTCGGGCCTCGTTTTCTTCGTTTGGCATCCGGCCTCCCCTCTGCGTCCTTCCGGACGGGACGGACTGGACCAGGGGGGCATCGTCAAGAGAGCCTCGCCACAGGGGGCAGGACACACCGAGGATTACCTCCCGGGCGGAGCCAGCCAACATCGTGAACGAGCTCTCTTCGGGAGCTACTCCCTCGGCAGGGTCGACTCCCAGGGGGGAGCTCGCCCTTTTTCGGGGGAGCTTCAGGAACGACAGAAGGACGTGCACTGACATGGATCCACGATGGTTTCGAGAGTACGTATTGTGCGAACGTTCGTATCTCGCGGCCGGGCTCGCGGACTGGGCGGCCGTGTTCATGTACATGGTTGGGCGCGCACGTCTTTCGTGGGCTCCCTGGAGCTAACCGCCAAGGGCCATGACAGCCAAAGGAGCATGGCACATGGAGGGATCAGCCTGCTGCGGCGAAGTCGGGCCCGTCCCTGTACAGGAAGGATGTCCAGGAATAGTCCACAAAATAGTCCAGGGACGGTTTTTGGAGTATTTTTTTGGACCATTTTGGAGTATTGTTTGATTTTTTCATATTATTATTAGTATTATTATGACTATCATTCTTCTTCTTATTATTGTTGTTTTTGTTATTATTATTATTATTATTAGTATTATTAGTATTATTAACATCATCATTATTCGCATCATCATTATTGTTATTACTAATCTGATTTTTGTTTGTATTATTATTATCGCTACTATTGTTGCTATTATTATTACTATTCTTCTTCTTCTTCTTCTTATTATTATTATTACCATTGTTATAAATACTGATTAGTTATTATTACTGTTTTAATCGTCCAAAATGCCCCTGCAGGGTGGACACGCCCGGCCTGGTGCTGAGGGCGTGCTGGGCAGAAGCCGCCCGCGGGCCTCGCCGTGCCCAGGTGGTGGGCAACCTGAAGCGCGACGATGACAAGAAGGAGGAAGAGGATCCCCCCGGGGGGGAGGCCTCGGAACACCGCGGCTGCCGGCGGAGGGGCAGGAGGAGGAGGGGCAGGCAGAGGGGCAGGAGGAGGAGGAGGAGCAGCAGCAGCAGGAGAGGCAGGAGGAGGAGGAGGAGGCGCACGAAGAGTAGCAGGAGGAGGGGCAGGAGGAGGAGGAGGAGGAGGAGGAGGAGGAGGAGGAGGAGGAGGAGGAGGAGGAGGAGGAGGAGGAGGAGGAGGAGGCGGAGGAGGAGCAGCACGAGGCGGGGCAGGAGGAGGAGGAGGAGGAGGAGGAGGAGGAGGAGGAGGAGGAGGAGGAGGAGGAGGAGGAAAGCCCTGACCTCTCGTACGCGGGGGGGGGGGCGCGCGCGCGACGGGCCGCCCCGTGAGGACGGGGCTCACGCGTGCCGCCGCGCCGCCGCGCGCGATAGCTCCGGCGGAGGGGCCATCCGTGCCCCCCTGCCTCTCCGCCGCGGCTCAGCGGCGGCCGCTGCGGCAGGGCCGCCGCGTGCCAGCAGAGGCGGGCGCTGGTTTGCCTCAGCGCCCCAGCGCCCACGGGACGGAAGGGCGTTCAGCCCGCGCTCAGGCAAGAGTGTTGTGCCGCGTCGCGGCAGCAGCACAGCTGCTGCAGGACCACCGTAGTGCCCAACGAGATCCAGACATGGCGACAAGCTCAAAAACAACTGGTCGCCCCGTAGGTGCAAGGCCGTATCCCTGGAGGTCACAAATACATCAGAACGCCTATCACAAGCGCGACTCGAGCGGCTACAGCCAGCATTGCCAGCATTACAGTGGTTAGCAGTACGGCAACCAGAAGTACAATAACCAAAAGCACAACGGTACCCAGCAGTGCGGATACCAGCAGCACCGCCACCAGCAGAGCAGCAACCAACAGCACAACGCCAGCTGGAAGCAAGGATCGAGATCGAGAGCGAGGTCATCGTCGAGAAAGGCTATGAGCAGGGTACCGTCCAGAGCACCAGCCATCCCATATGACTTCCAGTACGCCCAGAAGCAGCTCGAGATCATCGACAGCGTGTTTGCCTGCCGTTAAAGACGACATGGAACAACACGAGAGTTTCTCCAACCCACCCATCGAGCCGGACACCAATAACTTATGGATCTTGACGAAGAAAGGGCGCGCAGGGCGATTGGCAGGCCAGGCCCAAGGGGCAAGGGCAGCTCGAGTCGACGACGCCAAGATCATCAACGAGCTGTCCATTACCATGGCCATGATCATGCTCGCCCTCTCGCCCGAGGAGCGCGTCGCCCACTACCGTGCCAGCGTCGAGAGCGCCCTGGAGCGGAGAAGCGCGATGCGGGAAGACGTCGCCAAGCTTCATAATGAGTCCGACGTCGTAGAAGGCGACGTTCTGATCTTGACGACGCTCTGACAGGAGGCGAAGGACCGGCGCGGAATATCGGCTTTTTCCGACCCAGAGGGCGCGTCCGACTATCATGGGGGCCGCGAAGACCAAGGGCGGGAAGGACACGACAAGAAGACCGTGCGGAACATGACGGCGCACCCACGAGCACGTGAACCAAAACCCCCGCCATCAAGACCGACTCCAACGCGTCGGCCCAACCGCCCGCGGCCGCTCAGCGCCGATGATCGCGCCCAAGAACTTCGCAAGCTCATATCCGACCTTGCTAAGAAGGTCGACCACCAGCAGCAGCGCACGGGCATCCACCAGCACCGCCTCGCCTTCTTCCACCAAGGGCGGCAGACCAGCCAGCAGAAGTAGAGGCAGCAGGCCGAGCGCCGCGAGGAGATGAAGGTAATGCACGACAGGATGGAAGCCATGCGTAGAGACCTTGCCGACTACAACAAGCACAACGTGCAGCTGGCACAGAGCGCCATGCGATCGGAACTACAACAACAGGAACAACGATTCCAGGGGCAGCTGCAAGCCGACAGGGCTCTTGCGCAAAGGAGGATCGACGCCGGAGAGAGCAAGTCAAATAACGTTCAAGCGGCGGCGCGTCAGGAACAGCACCTGGGGCTCGCCATCTCCAAGGACTACGAGAGAACACACAGGGGGAACAACGACCGTTGGGGGGGCGACGGCAGGGGGTGGACACCGCCAGGAACGCGCTCATCATGCAAGAGGCCCAGTACCAGCAGGAATCCAACAACGCACGCCAACGGCTGCGACAAGCAGAACACCACGTACGACAGGAGGAGGTGGCGAATGCGTACAACTCGCTCATAGAGTACGAACAAAGGTGCCAGCAGCAGGAGGACAACATCAAGCATGAGCATCAGCAATGCCTAGCAGCAGTCCACAAATTGGCCATCTCCGAGCAAGACGTCTTCCAACGCGCCAAAGAACGACTATTCGAAGAACACGGAAAACTACAGGCACTGCGGCAACACGCACTGAGAGCAAAAAGCGAGTACTGTACAACAAAGCGAGCGCCCAGCTACTACGAGCAGAACAGCATATTCAGGCTCAGCTTGTGATCCACATCCATACCGACGCGGAGAAGCGCCTGAAGGAACGGGGGGGGGCTCCAAACCGAGCTGCTCCAGGCCGAGCTTCGAGGAGACGCAATCGACATCGACTTCTTGAGGGGGGCTCGACACCAGGGTGAGAGAGCGCGACGAGGGGGCAACCTGACGGCAGGCCATGGCGGATTCGGAGCAGCAGCGCATCGACCACGAGATAGAGGGTGCAGTACTTTCAATCCTACCTGGACAGCGCGACCAACCCCCACAAAACACCGACACCTACATCGAGCAGCTCAGGACCATGGGGCAGCATGGCGACGCCGCCGACGCCAGCGCGGCCGACTCGGAAGCTTGGGGCCTGCAGGACCTCGGCTTCGCCCCGAGGCCCCCGACCGCTCCTCCGCCGCCCCTCCCGCCCAGGCCGTTTCCGCCGACTCCTGCCGACGCGCCGCAGTGCCTCGCCCCCTTCAACGACCGACGCGACGAAGGCGCCGGGCCAAGTTCCCGACCCGACGCGTTACCGACGCCTTGCCCTTCCCAGCCCAGTGCGACCCTCTCACCTACCCCCGTCGCCGACGATGCGTATGGCGCCAACCCCGACGACAGCAGACGCACTCCCATCCCGGATCTTGCCCACGACCCAGATCTCGAGGGACGCGTTCACGGTTTCATTGCTCCCGAGCAAAGGACCACCATCGCTCCAGTCCCGACTGAGCAGCCAACGCCACCCACTCGAGAAAGCCCATCCCCCCGTTCGAGCCCTATCCGCCCCGCCTGAAGCGAGCGCTGAAGCTGAAGACGCTCGTGGGCCCGGCCCAGCAACTACCGCGCCCGTCGACCTCAGCGCGGGCGAACGCGATGCACCTGGTCAGCAGCGTCACACCCACGCAACCGATTCTCCCAATTGAGCCACCGCCACGCTTCCACATGGGCACTCCAGAGAGAGAGCACGTTCAGCGCCGCCTGCTCGAACGCGATCAGCCCTGAGAAGCAGCGACCGACGGGGCCGCCCAGCCAGGGAGGTCCGCACCCGCGACGCAGGTGGCGGCTTCGTAGACCCAGCCGATCGAGTTGCAGGATGTGCAGATGGTGACGACGAAGGTTCGGACACCACCCTACGCCCAAAAAACTAATTACGACGAGCCCTGCTGGGGGCGCGCTGGCCCATCAGGACAGCCCAACGACACCAGTGCAGGAGGCCCCATGGTCGGCCCAAATCGACCATGTGACTGACCCAGCCCGCGGTCAGCAATACCCGCTGGGCACACCATGCAGCGACCAGCCTGACGACCCCTGCGGCGCAGGCGACTTGCAGCAGCGTTACGCCATCACCTCCACCTTCGCTTCCACTAGGGGGGCCCGACTCTGCCAGCTCCGACAGGCGGATGCCCGCTTTGGGGATAGCGGACCAGCCTACTGAACGACTTAAGCAGCAGTCCGCCGCTTCGACCCCCCATTCAAAAAAAAAAAAAAACCATAAACACACCAGCCCATCCTCAATTCAGTGTCTCAACTGCCAGACAGGTCAGACGCCCGCCAAGTGGGTGATCTACTTGAGAGGAGAGCGCGACCCGCCAACAACGACGGCTAGAATGGGCAGCATCCCTCCAGCTAGTCAACCCGACTCCGTGCGTGCTGCAGGTAGCCTACCAACCCGCACCAGGAAAGTGCGATTCAAGACGCCGCCACCGCCGAGGACGAAGCCAGGTTCACCTACGGACGCAGAAGCACAGTCTACTGTCACTCCGTCTAGGCCTGACCGACCTAAGCCCGAAGTCGCGGCAGCAGCGACAAGCCATTCTGGCTCGAAGGCGCAACCACTGCATGACGAATGTATCCACGAAGTGGCCGACGCAAGATACGGCAGCCACTGCTCCTCTGTTCCCATGGCCGCTTTCGACAACATCGAGGCGACTTTCTGGGCGACCACGACCTCCAGGACGAGCGCGACGGCACCAGTCCCGACGATGACCTCTCCACGAACAGCAATGACCACGATCTCAACGACGCGATCGCCCGACGACGCTTTGCACGAGTCCAAAGACGTCTTCGCCTGCATCGGATACCTACCTACGTGTCAACGTCCAATCGTTTCGACGCCTCACAGGATTCTGACGACAACCGTCAAGTAAAACCTTCGCCGGCAGTCATGGAAGCAGCACCTGGGACTGGAGTACTTTACCATCACCACGAACGAATCCCTAATCCATCAACTACCAGTCGGACACCACCACCACCACGCCCTCAAACAGCAGCCCTCTATCCCTGTCGCATCGAAGGGCCCAAGAAACCATCCAACCCGACCCCTCGCGACCAGCCCTCTCTACCAGATGAGCAACCACCAGGGCGCGACCTGCGCTTCAGCCCTAAAGCTCCCAATAAAACAGCCATCGAGCACAGCGCTTCGCCCGCCCTGACCTTCGAATTCGACCAAAGAGCGATGAACGAAACCGCGGATTACGTTCTCCGACACTTCCCACCTCGGCCTCAATTATAACAGCAGCAACTCCACATTCACCGACGGCTCTAAGAGCCCGAAGAAGAGTGAGGACGACGCGTGGGCCGTTGTCAT